CGTTTGATTGTATTCTAAAATTATACAGGCGGGCTTGCTTGCTTCTTTCAGGATACCCTTGTATCCTAACAATCACAGTCTCCTGAATCAATTGTACAACAAACAAATAACTGCTTGGCTCTCCACTTTCCTATGACTAAGCTGATGGTCCTGGAATTGCTTAATGTATTTGAATATTGTTTTTTTTCTCATAGGTTTCTGGCTTGTGTAAGCACCGTGAAAGTATTTGAGCTATGAATGTTATAAAGGAAAATAACATTAAATAAAAAAACTTGTTTACTTGCCAGATGATACTCTGCCTCATTCAAATGATTTGAATCTTTGAGATGCTTAAGCCCACAGATCTATGCTGAATTGGCATCCCTCTTGGGTTCTAGTGAGTATTTTCAGGAAAGACGCATAAAAGCACCTCAGCAATTTAAAAAAAAAAGCCTTAAGGTATGTGAACAAATTTCCAAAGACTGACAAGCTATCACCCTAAACTCTCACAGATTTAACAGTAACTTTCATGTCCATGTTCGTGGTCTGCGACAAATGCAAGGTAGCTTGACTTGCATTAGCTCATAATGGAAGCAGATCAAATTGAGCTGAATTGCTCCAGGTTTACTTCAGGCTGAGCTTGCATACAGGCAGTGCCTGTGGGACACATGATACCTGGGAACTTGACCCTATGCACTAATTGTTATATGTTTAAGTGTGTCCATCTAAATTTGCAACACCCATTCCTGCTCAACAGCCCTCTGTCCCTTGAAATATTTCAACTCTTTGTCAGCATCTTGCTGTTTCTCTGTTTTACATGGATGAACAGTAGATGCCCAAAAGAACATCATCTCACCAGCACATTCCTATTCTGCATTATATGCATGTGCATCATGTGGGTTGGCTTTGATGTAGGTATTAAGTGAAGGGTAATGCCTGCAATTTAAAGGCTTTTGCAGCTCAAATGGAAATCACTGGGGAATCAGACTTTTCTATATAGTTAAAGACAGGCTCACGTTATGAGTAAATGTGTTGGTTTTGGTGGCAGTACCAGCCTATAGTTCTGCCCACATTGCAGTGTGTCACAGGAGTTTGGAGTGGAAGACCATGAAACACTATGATGTCTGCCAGTATCCCGGATGGTGTTTGCAATCCCTTCTTCTAGACCACTCAATTGACTATTTATGTAACCTCTGTTGCAATGTGGGATTATTTGGGGAGGCTCCCTGACAAGTTTGACCTATTTTTTTAAGCTGGACGGTGCTGCCAGAAGCAGCTTTATTGGAAAGTGTTGCTGCAAGGCCTGGATACAACTTGTGCCTTAGCCCAGCTACAGCAATACTGTATTCATGCCGTCACTCGGGCAGCTGGCTGTGGAAAGAGAAGTGCCAATCCTTGCTTGGTCATACTGTTGGAGCTGGTGTCTGTATCAAGCCTTTACATGCTGGGAGCAACGTATTTCATATATAGTGGACAACGACCAGGAGAAGGTGAGACCATAACTCCTCAGTGCAGGCTGCCCTGATTGCTTTACATGAGCTTGTCAGGAGCAGCAGTGGTTGTGAGCTGTCACCTGCTCTGTACAACATCTGAGCCTGGGAGAAGGGCAAGAGGAGTCATAGAGGCAAAACTTCGTGAGGAGGATGATGGTGTCCACGGACGGCTGTGCAGAACTTCTTACGTGATGCAACAGACAAACAACACTGAGATTCTTGCTGAGCAGCAGGAAAGGAAGCTGGGCAAATTCCTCAGAAGCTGGTGGCCATTGAGTTATTCTTCGGTCAGTCAGTTTGGAGCTGAGATGACAACAGTCAGCTGTGCAGTATGGGAAGCTGCAGCAGCATACTAAAAGTTTTTGGTCTTGGATGTTTCTGGGTGATGCCTATGTGGCCAAAAATGGCAGGTTTCTTCGGCACGGGGTTGCCCAACAATGTTGTTATCAGAGAGGCTTGCACTGCCTCTGACCAAGCATGGTCCACCAGTGGCACAAAGGGATTTTATTTTGTCTGCAGCAGGCTGGAGAGCTACCATGGATGCCTTATTGTCATTAGTGCTGCAGATCTGGCATGTGTTTTCCACAATGCCAGCCTGGTTAATGTCTTACAGGAGCCAAGGAAAAATAGCAGGTCAGCAGCTCCATTAAGATCATCAAACCAGTGCTTGGCACAAACTGACCTAGCTGAGCAGCCTCAGACAAACCTGCCTTGTGAAGATAAGCAGCTTCACTTGCCAAGAGCTGTTCTGTTGTTCCCTTGGCAGTTGCTGCCTGTTGTTGGCCACGGATTTTGTGTGTAGCAGCCAGAAAGGAGCCCCCCAGGGTTGGACTGCAGTCTAATGCAAAGTCCCTTTCCTGAATTCTGTTTGGGTTTTGTTCACGCAATCAGAGAATTGCGTTGGTGGAAAGGGACCTCTGGCGGTCTTGCTCAAGGTAGATCTGGCAAGAGCAGACTCTTCAGGGCCCTGGGCATCTGAGTTCCAAGTATCTCCAGGGGTGGAAATCCCACATGCTTTCTGGACCCTGCCCCAGTGTTTGACCACCTTCATGATAATTTTTTTTTTCTCCTCTTACTGAGTTGGGAATTTCCCAACTAGCACCTGTTTCCTTTCACTGCACACCTCTGATTAGAAAAAGGCTCTCTTTCCTCCATGCCCATTAAGCAGTTGTAGACAGCAGTAAGTACTCTTGGCCCTCTTGAGGCTGTACACGCCACTCTTCATACAGCAAGTGTTCTTGCCCAGTATGTCAGTGTCTTTTGTACTGGGGAGATCCAAAAGCGGACGCAGCACTCCAGATGTGGTCTCACAAGTGTCGAATTGGGGGAGAGAGTCCCCTTCCTTGAACTGCTGGCTGCAGTCTCCTAGAGCAGCCTGACATGTGGTAGCCTTTGCTGCAATGATCTTTTGAAGTAGGTGTTGTAATTGCGTGAGCAGGTTCCTGGCAGCACCTGTGACATTGTCAGCATCTGCTATAACTCCTTCTCCTGCACAAAGAATTTAGGTGCAAAGTGGTAACTGTGGAAAGTCTTTCATTGTTGTTTGCTGGAAATCTGTGTGAAAGTAAATATTAAGATGTTCTTTTTCTGTTTGGCAGACTAAAGGACAGCTACAATTCTAGCTTGGGCTGCCCTTGAAATGTTTTCTTTCTCTGCCCTGAAGGATAAAGTTCAATATTCTAGTGGAAAACGGTGACTTATTGTGAACAAATGTGTAATAAAATATTAACAGTTATGCAGAGCTTGAACTATACAAAACCAAGCGGTGGAGCCTGCCGTAGGCCAGGTGCTAAAGTGAGGGCAGTGCACTGTCCCCTGCCTTGCGTGTTGCTGGTGAGCCTGCAGAGTCACTGGTTTCTGGCAGCTCTAGAGCACAAGGTGAAAGTTCTGATGGAGAAGATGTGGGACCAGAGGATCAAGGAGCGCAACAGGGTGGGACAGGCCAAAGGGGCAGCAAATTCTCTTAAGGTGTTGCAACAGACTGCTCCACTTCTCTCATCATTGGTACTATCTCTTGGCCTTCATCCTACTCCACACCTACGTTTCTGTGCGATGGGTTGACAGTGAATATGCTTGCTGCCTGGCCATGATCCATGGTAGTGACAGATCAGTCCACCTACTTCAAAACCGTGTGTGCTCGATTTGACTGATGTCTCTATTGTCACAACAGCCTTTTCCTTGCCTCCACTCTTACACAATCCTCGTCTGAAGCAGCTATCAAACTCTGTGCCTATTTTGTTTCAGACTTGAGCAAAAGAATTATGGTAGTGATTGTTCCTTGCTTGGCCATGTAAACATCCATTTATCCAAACTCTTGAACAATTATCCTCATCAGTTTCATTCCTCTGTTCTAGCCAGTTATGATGATGACAGAAAGTTGGTTCTGCCCAAGAGAAAGAACTCATGAAGAACTACTGCTGCTTGGAAGCAGCATGTTTGCTCCTGGCACTCGGAGACCAAAGCAGCTCCAACAGAGAAGTAAGAGGGTATAAGACCCTCTGCCTATAGAACAGGAAAGGCCATCGCCTCCTGTAGGCCATTGGTGCTGTGGCACTGGTCTAAGAAAGAGCAGTCAGAGAATGTCTTTCCATAGAACAAGTGGAACTGGGACAATTACCCCATCACTGCTACCACACCAGGTATCTTAGAAGAACCTGGACACCAACAGAAGAGTGACCCCTAAAGTGTATCTGTCATAGCGTGCTGTTGCTACCTACAAGTTTACAAAGGCATACAATACCAGGGACTAAGCCCTTAAGTTATGATAGATATAGTCATTGACCCTGGAGCAGTAACAACTGGTGACCCTTTGAAGAGATGTTTGATCTTGAGATCCTGCTGTGAACAAGGAGAGGTGTAAGTTTCCCACTTCCGGGGAGCTGCAAAAGCATTTCAGAAAGGACTTTTTCTCAAAGACACAATGATATTATCAGTTTAGTGGTGCCTGAAGCAAATCTTGGCTGCTGCTGTGTTCTACAAAGCACACAACTTAAATTTAGTAAGTTCTGTAAACTTCAACCCTGCCCTTCTGTCCCCCACTTAAGCTGTTAGTTTTTAAAGGCAGGGGGAGGAAGCCATGGAATAGATCATAGAGACTAGCTCCACAGATCATACGGTCAAGTAGGATCTCTCTCAAGTTCCTGGGAAAAAAGACTGAACACTCTGTGCTGGCTGTCTGCAATTGTGAAATCAGTGCAAAATTCAACTCTTTTGATTTTGAAGACTTTAATTTTAGGGGAAGGTTTATTTTCTGTGTCTGTAGAGAAAAGCCCAAGGAAGGTAAGCACTGGCAGGATAGGATGGTGCTGCCAGCTCTGCATGCAGGAGGAAAAGAGTACAGCAGTAGTGTGGACCAGAGTAGTTCATTTGAAAGAAAGACATTTTGTTTCTTTAGAAGTAATTCTGGGATGAAGTCTTTGGGATTACTGTAATGGTGAGATAATAGGCATGGTTCCTTAGTGACTGACAGAAAGTAGGCTGAAATCTGGAAAATACATTGCTAATAACTCTTCTTTTCTCTGCATACAGGGAAACAGCTGGATGGCATCTGGTAAGTGACTAGATTTAAATTGCATAATGTGTGTTAAACACTGTATGGTGTAGGAAGTATTTTCAATAGGAGATTATATATGCCTCAGATTTAAGAACATTTTGGTGCTGAAGGGAGACCAAGGCACTTTCTGTTCCTGAATACAGATTGACAGTAAGATGGTGTACAGTCAGGTGCTGGTTAAAGCTCTCCATTCAAAGCTCTGTGGACCCCATGAAAAAAAGTGTTGGTAGCAGTCATTGTGTTTTAGTGCACTTGTACCCATTTTCAAGGGTAGGATGTTGTCCTTGTCCCAAGCACTTGGTCTTCTAATTGCAGGCATGTCTAAACATGAGAGTAAAAGAGTAGGTGGGAAGAAGGTATTACAGAACCAGGCCTTCTGGCACTGAAGAGCAGTGGCTATATTTGGTTACAAAACACCTCTCAATTTGCTACATATATAACATCCAGGGTTTAAAAAGAAAGAAAAAAAGGGGGAAAGGGGCACAAAAAAACCCCAAACCCTTTGTCCATCTGTCTTCCCTCTCTATTGATCTGTCTCCAGTGGTTGTCTGACCTTCTTCTCAAGTCAGGGTCTATCAGACATGTACAACTTCTGTCAATGTGGAAGCAGGACTAACTCTGTCCCTCTGTCTCTGTGGGTTCACCATCAACCCTTTAGCTGAGAGAGGCTGCTGGAGATCTTGTACCAGTGTGGCAGTCCCTCTCTTCCCATGTTCCTTCATGTCTGGGCACCTAGCTAAGCCTGTTCTTTCCCAACCATTTACAGAGTTACAGTAGGCTTGGTAATCATTGCTTCCATATCCATTCATGTCCCAGCAGATCCTGTTCCTACTCACAGAAACACATTGACCTTTTCTTTCAGTTATTAACTTCATGATGTCCTTAAGCACGTAATTTTACCAGTGATTTACATGCTAGGTTAAATATTTCCTTTGTTTCACCAATCTTTTGTTCTCTGTGGCAGGCACACCTCCATAATAGTCCATAAGGATGAGTTCTTCTATGGCAGTGGAGGAATCTCCAGCTGTGCACCTGTAAGTCAAACTTATTTTTCTGAGAAGGTAATTTTGTGGTAGGGTTACCTGATCAGAATTGCTTGTGTCACTGTCTCTTCTAAAAGCAGCAAGAGGTTTCTGAATTCAGCCAGCTGTGGCTGCTTGCCATGGTTGCCCAGGGCATCTCAGGAAAATGGATCATGGACAGTGGGTTTAAGCCCAACTAAATGCAGGTTGGGGCTTGCTTCTGCTGATAGACTCTATTCAAGACACCTTCTGCAGCTGCATTGCCAGTGACACCTTATGTAATTTTGTATGAATAGGTTTTACGTGCAGACTCAGCAACTTTTTAAGATGAAAAATACAAAAAAAAAAAATCATGATGCTTTGTCAGACCTTTCCATTCTCGGAGAGGCAAAACTGATGGGCCGTTCTTCTAAAGCAGAATATTGCCATGGTTTAGCACTTTCATCATAAGGAGCCACATATACAAGCTGAAACTTAAGTTACATTATGTCCTGTTCTCTGACTGGAGAACAGAGGAGGCCAGTAGGGCTTTTTGCTTACCAAAAGTCCTCCTCCTGTGCCTGGACAAGCCACGATAGCTCTATTCACTAGAGTCCTCCAAAAGATTTCAGTCTGTCCATTTAACATGGTCTTCTGGCTGTTAATTTTTACAGGGAGGGACACTTCTTGGGCCCCCAGACTCAGTTGTTGACCTGGGAAACACTGAAGTTACAGAAGAAATTTTTCTAGAATATCTTTCCTCTTTAGGGGAATCGATGTTCCGGTAAGTAGCAGCTTGTGCTATAAAGTCTGTATAACAAAAAAAAAAAAAAGCCTTTAGGGCAAGGAGTGTAGAATGGAGGAAGGTATTAGGAAACCAGTCCTGCTCACAAAGCTTTGTCTGCTTTGTGTGTTATTTGGTACTCTCCGAATATGAGACTGGAACTGATACACCAATGCACAAAGAGCTACCAGCTAGGCAACCCTCTGGTGTGCCAGCCTTGAGCTAAGCTGGGAATGCATTCTGCCAGGAAGTCTTTCACACTGTTTTTCATAAAGTGGAATAATGCCTGAAATGCCTTTGAGAGAATCACCAGGGAAAATGAAAGCACTATATGAAATATTTCAGTAAATAATGCTTTGCCCGATGAGTCATAGGTGAAGTGTTGTAGTAAAGCTGCCAACTTTCAGATGAGTAAAAGCAAGGTCTTGGCTGTTAAAGAGTCTAGTCTGCTTCTCAAAATAATAGGAAACAGTAGCATTTAGTGTTCTGGCTAAATTTCAATGTCAATAATTCTCGTGATTGCTTTTTATTCTTTCTGTGGTGTTAATTGAAGAAACCTGACCTCACTTTTCCTTCAAAAAAAATTGTATAAAGTCAGTGATGCAGAGAGATGTCATTTTCCACCCTGATTCACTTGAATGTGAAGGTGAATTGATGTCTGTACTTTACCTATTTGTCTTTGAATTCTTTGTGGAAAGAGAAGTGCTAATGTAAGGAGATGTTCCTCATTAGGGGTCTAAGTTTTTCTGCTGGTTAGATTTATTGCTGAGTCTGTCTTTCTATGGTTCAATTCCTTTTCTGTTGCACAGGGGAGAGTCATATCACCTCTTTGAACATAACTGCAACACCTTCAGTAATGAAGTGGCACAGTTCCTGACAGGAAGAAAAATCCCTTCTTACATCACTGACCTTCCAGCTGAAATTCTTGCCACGTGAGTATGCATTCTGCTCCTCTCTGCACTGTATGGCTTCATGCTAATGCTTAAACATTTGACAGAGCCAGCAGTACCAGTTTATCCTGGCTCTCTCTGAGAACCAACATAAAATGAAGAAGAGGATGCGATTTGCTTTACTTCAACACTTACAACACTGTACGACAAGTGCTGATTGGCACTGGCGTTACTAAGGAGACAGAAGGTGGTTGTTCTGCCATTAACTTAAACTATTTGTTTTGTGATGGTCTCTTATATGTGACCAGACAAGCATAGCAAGTTTCAGAAAATGATGCCTTTTCTTTTTTTTTTTTTTCTTAAGAAACCACTATCTCTTAAAGGTCATTTCTCTTGCTCTAAGCACTGCAATTGCAGTGGAGATGTCAGCTTTGCTTGTGAAGAGGCAAGGGAGATGTAATTTTAAAATTAACGCTGCAGTCTTAAAGCTAGGACTGGATGGAAAAACAACATATGAAAAAAGAGGAAATGAGGAATTCCTGCCTGGTACTTCAGCTCAAGATTTTATTTTTTTTAAGCGCTTGGCTAGTGAGGATCCCAGTGGGATGATTTGAGCTCCATCATTTAGGTCTTATTTCTCATAACAATGGTATACCACATTATTTGGGAGACGCACGTCTGCTACCCTGGGCTCCTATCACATCAGATCTCTCGAAAATCAGATAAAGTCTCTAACAGAGTGAGTCATATTGAAAGATAAACCAGGTGCTACAGATTGCAACAGAAATTCTGTGAGGGTTGAACTATTGTCTTATAAGGGAGCTAGAGGCTATTCTTCTAGCAGTCTTTGATACTGATGTGATACTTAATGGAGCTCTGCAGTTGCATAACAGGGATTTCGTTCACACACTTAAGTAGAATAAATTACTAAAAGCTGGTTTTAGACACGGTATTACCACATTAGCAGTCTGGGCATGTTAGGACTCGGAACTAGCTTATATAAAATCATGTTAAAGAGAGTTTATTCTTAAACTAATTTAACCTATTTAAGATACTTATTTATTGGTTTTAGTTTGTAGTGGAAGTCTGTTCTTCAAATTTGCTTCTGTGATGTTGGTTTGATTGCACTCTAGGAAGTGAGTGCTCTACAGTAGTAAATGGGAAAAGTTGTTCATCAAGTAAACTGTTTGAGATGTTTATTTCTTTACTTTCTCAGACCTTTTGGACAAGCTTTAAGGCCCCTCCTGGACTCCATCCAGATCCAGCCACCCGGAGGAAATACCTTCAGCAGACACAATGGACAGAGCTAACAGGAGTGACCGAGTGTGCCCAGCCTCACCAGGCCTCTTCCTTTTTAAACATGAATCTACCAGATTTCTATTTTATAATTTCCCATCAGAATTAACTCTACAGAAGTTACAAGACAAGATCTAAAATTTCCTAGGGAGAGGATTTATCAGGGTGCATGTAAGACAATGCTACCAAAAAGATTTCCATAATTTCTAATAGTATTATACTAATTTATAAAGGTTGTCTTGTCGGAGTAGGCTGACAGTTTCTAAGTAACTCCCATGCTTATAAGTGGGAATTTGTTCCATGAGCATTCAAAGGCCCATTATACAATTTGGAGTAAATAAGAGTATGTTCTAGCCATCCCTTGCAGGCTTGCATCTCTTTCTCCTGTCACTGCTTATATTATGGGGGTATTTGCTGAAGTCTGTAGCAGAAAGACAAAGGAAGTATTGGTGGCCTAGGAAGTGAAGGCGTCCCAGGATTAGTCTTCTGCGTATTTCATTGACAATATATTACTTGCTCAGGGGAAAGGCTGAACTCATCTGATTAGAATATTTGCAGTGGCACAGCTGTGTGTGAAAGGTGATCAAGCTGAACAGTGTGTGTATCGCACTCAAAAGTTGAAACTTTCAATGGGACTAGTGGTGTGTGGGAGGGAGGCTGGAACTGAAGGTTACCAAGAGCCTTGTAATGTTAGATCCAAGAGTTATGGGAAAGAACCAGCTGAAAGAACAGAATCTCGTGAGTAGAAGTGGTGGAAACAAATTTCGGGTGAAAGTAAAATGAAGTGAAATGTTTCCTTTTCTCATATGTAAGCTTATCAGCAGATAGACAAAACCTTGTTAACTATTTATCTTTGCATAAGAGCTGATTTTTTTTTTTTTTTTTTTTTTTTTTTATACAACAAGATACCAGTAAATATATCTTCCAACCCCTTTCAGGAGACCTGACAAAAAGCAGGTACCGCTTTTTTGGAAGGTTTTGCTTTTGCGTTTGTTTTTTTTTTTTTTTTTTTGTTCTTGTTGGTTGGTTTGCATAAAAGCTTATTTTTTTTTTTTTTTTTTTTTTTTTTACCAAGCCAGAGTTACAGTAGAGTCAGGCAGGGATAGCATGGCAACTGCATGATAATATAAGGTGGACCAATTCTGCCTTCAGTATCTAGTTGCAGACACAGTAGGAGTTCCAATATTTTTTGACGTTGCTATCCTTTCCAAAGCAGTCAGGCACATCACAGACAGGGCTCTGCTTAGGTGTAATACAAATAGGTGATAGGTCTCCTCAAATGTAAAGAAAATGAGAAAAAGTAAAATTAATCTTTTCTATGGAACGATTGAGTTTATTGGGATACATGCAGAAGCAGTCCTGTCCTTAGGTTGATGTTAGATTGTATCAATACTGCATCTTCTAGATTAAAATTCTTACAGCTTTGCAATTATTTGCAGTGGAAAAAGATCAGGGGAATGAAAGAATAGGCACAATGATTTCTTTTCATGCATGTATATACGCTATTTTCCTGACGAATTCTGAAACAATAATATTTAGGAAGTAACACAAGAAAGATGCTGGACAACCCCGAAAACATTGCTGATGCTCCATAAATGGGGATCGTGCGTGCGAGATGCTGCTGAAAAAAAGCATCTATGCAAATGTGTAGCCCTTTGTCCAGTGCTTTGTTGTGAAAAGTATTGCTGCAAGTTCAGTCCTGCATCTCAAACTTCCTGCACTGGAAACTTCTTGCATACCTAAAGGAGATTACTTTGCTCTGCTGGGTTCTTTCTCACAGAATAATACAGCTTGATAAGTTTCTTATGCTGTTACTCAGCGTGGACTATAATGGTTCATATTTTTGAGGGGATGGAATGGAGGAAAACTGCAGTTTAGTCACTTTTTTTCAAATTCTCTGTTGCCCCTGCACCTTGTGGAGTCACTACATGAGTGGAAACAGGGCAGTGTCAGTCCCTTTTGCAGTTTTGTGTGTACCTGCTCTCAGTGCGCAGCAGTGGCCCTTGCAGCCCAGATTTTTTTTTTTCCCTTTTCCTTGTCACTCTCTGCGTGTGCCATCAATTTCTCCTTAAGCATTTCATTTGATGGACTGGACTTGGAGACAACTGTAGCAGTTAGTACAGATCAGTTTATACCAAAGCTTTTGATCTTTCCCCATCAAAATGTCCTGTTTGCAGAAAGCATTCTATAATAAACCGTTTATGAATGCCTTCTGGTGCTCCTGGAGGAAGGATTGGTGTTTGTTTTCTGCAAAGCCACAGCTTAGTTTTCCTGTTTAGTATCTATATCCTCTCCAGTCTTTTCCCATACCTATTCTGTGAAGAGTAACCAGTCTCTCATCTTAACACACACATGACTGTGCCACAAAATGCTGTAGCATGTTAGAGATCTTGGAGCTTCCTCAGTTGAACAGGTATACTTAAGCTGATAGAGTGCAGCCCAACATCTATGTCTGTTAGTTTGGTACCTGCAAGCAGCACAGCTGTGGGTGCTTGTTCTTTCAGCCAACTACCACTTCAGGCACAGCTCCCTGTGGTGGAAACACTGGTGCCACTGTTTCTGCCCTACACTCTTGCACAATGAGGGTATCCCCTGTGTGTCCACTACTTTAGAGGTCCTGACCCTGTTTTCTGCTTGGCTGCCTACTTCAGGACTTCTTACATCCTCTCAGGAGGCAGGAAAGAAAAGGAAGATGTTCACCCCATGCATTTTGCAATCTGCTTTTGCCCCCCTGCCCCGAGCAGCCCCTTTGCAGAGAGAATGCTGCTACTTTAAGGTCACTGGGTAAAATTTCACTCGGCCTTATACTATTTGCAATAGCCAAGGAGCTCCTGGAGGGTGTCCTGGGCTCGGGGCCTGTTCTGTGTTTCATAGCAACAGAACTATAGGAAGGAATCCCTTTTCCTTGGTCTTACTGGGTAACAAGACCCCCGTAGGCCTCTTAGGAAACCCATTTTCTCCAAAGATGTTATGTGTAAATTGCAGGACTGTGTCCCCAATGTTCCACCCAGCCATAGCTACTCATAGGAATATAAACTAGACTGAGAAGTGTATGTAAGTGTATATAGGTGATGAACTTCAGCCAGCTGATTGACAAAGGGGCAGGGAAACTGAACTCCCGAAAGGGAACAGAACGCTTTTGCCCACACTTACTATTCTCTCTTGTATTGCTGGGGTTCCCCCGTGCCATTTTAAAAGTGTTAACAGCGTCTTTAGGCAGAAAGTGATGTTTTGATTTATTTGTGTTTTTTTTTCTATTACAATAAAAATAAATACAGCAAGTTTACCTGTTTTAATGTTGGTGTCTACACAGCTGCCCAGCGAATGCAGCTGATCAGAAGTCGTCATCTTCCCTCTGCTCCCAACTGGAAAGTGCAAGTGAAAGAAACTGTCTGAGCAGTTTATCCGAAGTAGCAGTAGCTACTGCCCTTTGCTAAAACTGGTCACAGGCAATGTTCTTATTTAAGTTTGGGGAAACTTTCCTTCTGTAAGCACTGTGGTATTTTATCAAGACCATTGAAGGCTGGACTGTGGGTATTTTGTGCAGCCCTTGCTCATCTAAGTGTGCAAGAATGAAACGTCTAATGTCTGCTGTTGAAGAAGAGGCCCAACAGAGCTTAAACATAGGAAAAGGCTCCAAGCTTTTCCTGGTTGTCTTGATGCTGCTACTTTCAAAAGGAAGAAAGCAGCTTTAAGGAGACTTCATGCCTGGGTTCTTCTGGAGCTGCAGAGGGGATAGTGGCAAGGATTATGCCCCTTGTGCCTCTGCCCACTCGTGGGCTGTTGAAGAGCAGGGGAAATATCTGGCTCTGGGGAATGAATAAATCCTGCTTGGATTCAGCCTTCTGAATGCATATTGACGGCATCCAAATGATAAACCACACAGTTCCCTCTTTGTATAATGGTCTGTATCAGTGCAATACAGAAGAGGGCTTGAAACTGAAGGGGACTTTAACAAAGATTCATGATTGTGTTTTTTTTGGCCTGTGTTACTTGGTTGTGATGCTGGTTTGCTATCAAGCACCAGTACGAGCCCCACATAAAATACCTGGGAACATGTATAAAAGGAAAACCTTAACTTTGATGGCATCTCTAGACAGAGCGTAAGCCAGCGCTCACAGCCGCTCACCTTCTAAACCTCAAACAAAATATTTGCCCTTGCTGCTAGTTTTATTCATGGCGAGGGCTGCTGCCTATCTGAGCAGCAACCAAGGCAATGCATCAAGCGTGGTTTAAGTGCAAAGTGTTAAATAACGGAATCAGCCGCAGGGGCCCTGTTCTTGGAGATAACCCAGATGAAGACACGAGCACAGCTGTATCCAGCTGTGCACTCCACCAAAAGGCAGACTCATGTGGAAGCCAAGATGGCACAAGTCCTCATCAGGTGATACCAAAAGGCGGTCGGGGTGCTGGGAGAGGTGTTTCGACTTCAGCAGAGTTTCTAGACCAGCGTGACAAATAAGCTGGAGAAGGCACCTCAGGTAGTTCCAAGTTTTGGGAAGCTCTCCTGGCAGCATAAGTGCCATGGCACAGTGGGAATTTAAAAATGTGCACACTGACCCGTATTTTAGCAAACTTCCTAATTCTGGGAAGCGCCCCGAGGTGGCACTGCTGCCTTGCAGTGTGGGCATGCACCTGAGCCTGGGGAGAGCAGCTCCTGCTTTTGGCACCTCCAGAGAAAGGTCAATGCAAGAGGCCAGGGGGGAAGCCTCTCCTGGACAAGAAAGCTGTGGGTAGGAGCAGCCAGGAGACGAGACCAGGAGACAGCTTGGACTCCAGCAAGAAACAAGTGCCACCATGATGCTGCGGCAGGAGGGAGCTGGTGGGTTTTTCCAAACATCAAGCTTCTTCCACTCAAACGTGGGAAATCTTATCCTTGTACTGTGGCCACAAACCAGCACATAACACTTTCTAAGGCTCAATTTAAAGTTTAGAAAGCAGGTGGTATTTATCGCGGTGCTGGGTGCACAGGGGATAGCTCCTCATTGTGCACCCCGAACGCTGTTGTCAAATTAAATTTATACCCAACAGGTATACATATTCAATATAATCTCAAGAAAACATTAGCATATTCATTGCACTTCCGAGAATTCATTTACATACTACACTAAGCTTTACACTACACGAGGACCTTCTGGTGGTCCTCGCCGGTCGTCGTCTTCTTCCTCAACCTTCCTCTTCCCCACCCGTCCTTCGGCTTGCTCTTTCACGTCGGCCAAACCTTCTAACGGCTTCATCGCGCCTTGAAACTAACGATCCCCTTGCCACCAGCTGTAATGACCATATTTATTGCATCCCTGCCTTCGGTCCCCGTCTTCCCGGGGTCGCGCCGTCCTCCC